ACACAAAGTGCAGTTGAAGGAGTAATGGGGCTCGGGTTTGGTTCTCAGGTAATTACTGTATATTTATACTTTTAAAAATTCATAAACTTTTAATTGACCTGCTACTATTTTAAAAAATTTTCAGATTTGGGGTCAACTAGTCAACAGTGCCTACAATCAAGTTATTGGATTTGCACTTCCCAATAGAAACTGTCCTATTGGTTCAATCGCACTTGGAGGAACAGATTCTAGGTATATCCAAGGTTAGTGTGTAATTATTCGGTTGTTTATTTTGTAACATACTTGCCAAATAATTATATATGACTTGATTTATAAAGTCTAATCTAATAAAAATTTTAATTCAGATCCTAATCAATCGGTTACAATACGAACTTTAAATGATGCTACTTATTTGAAAATTGAAATTAATTTGATATGGGTTAATACGACACCGATCATAATTCCAATTCCAGTGGTTAATTCGATTATTAGTACTAGTTATAATAAAATTTCCCTTGGTACTTATGCTAGTGAATTTTTTAAAGAGTTAGGTGCTAATAAAGATAGCAATGGAAATTGGATAGTACCGAATCCCGTTGATATATCTTTTGATATTAAAACTGATTCTGGAGATCTAATTGGAGTAACAATACCGAGTTCTTTAACCTGTAATATGATTCAAGGAAGATGTGTATCTATATTTGATGATTCATTTGGACCTTCAAATTCAATAATTTTTGGTTTGCCATTTCTCCAGGTAATAATTTTTTTTAAAAAAATTATTATGAAATTACGATCAACTTTAAAAAGTTCATTATACAGTAATTTACTATGTTTATATATTGAACTTTTAACAACTTTGAGAAACAATTGTTTGTTACATGGCGTTTATTATAAAAATTTTCATTATATCCGGAGTTGACTATTGTGAGAACGAGCATAAGAATTGTAACAATTTATTTAATTCTGGCCTGAATTAGGTTAATCATTGGCCAAAATTATCAAGATTGTGTTTAATGTTGGCTAAGTTAGACGATTAACGGCTAAAATTTTTATTAGGTGGCTACAATAAATATATTTTTAATGGTAAACTAATCATTTCTTAATTATATCCTTCTGTAGATTTTATATATTATAATTGACAATGCCAAACACACCATAGAATTATTTGATAGAAGTAATTTTTGTCCTAATCCAATATCGTCACCAGCATCCACAACCACAGTGGCAACATCATCCACAACTACAGTGGCAACATCATCCACACCATCATTCACATTCACAATTCCGAATCCTACTGGTCCACGGGATAAAAAAGATCCGGATAATCCTGGTGGTCCTCCCGGTGGTCCAGATGGTCCTCCAGGTGGTCCAGGTGGTCCTCCAGGTGGTCCGGGTGGTCCTCCAGGTGGTCCAGGTCATCATGGTGGTGGCGGTAACACATCACAAACTACGCACACATTCATACCTATAGGTATACCTGCGCCTACATTGTTTCAACCTACAGGCTCATATATACCTACAGGCTCGCCTACGCTCACAAATTTACCTCGACCTATAGACTCTTCTATGTCTAAATTCCTGCCTCAACCTACAAACTCATCTATTCCTAAAGGATCATCTCATCCTACAGGCTCATCTATTCCTACAGGCTCATCTCATCCTACAGGCTCATCTATTCCTACAGAATCACCTCATCCTACAGGATCATCTCATCCTACAGGTTCATTTATTCCTACAGAACCATCACATCCTACAGGCTTATTTAGACTTCCAGGACCATCGCCAATACATGCAAATTCATCTCAATCTATAAGTTTATCTATACCTACAGGCTCACTTAGACATCCAGAATCACCTCATCCCACAGGATCATCTCATCCTACAGGCTCATCTATTACTACAGAATCATCGCATCCTACAGGCCTATTTAGACTTCCAGGATCATCGCCCATACATGCAAAATCATCTCAATCTATAAGCTTATCTATACCTACAGGCTCATTTAGACATCCAGAATCGCCTCATCCTACAGGATCATCTCATCCTACAGGCTCATCTATTCCTACAGAATCATCTCATCCTACAGGCCTATTTAGACTTCCAGGATCATCGCCCATACATGCAAAATCATCTCGATCTAGAAGTTTATCTATACCTACAGGCTCATTTAAACATCCAGAATCGGGATTGCCCATACATGCAAAATCATCGTCTCAATCTATAAGTTTATCTATACCTACAGGCTCATTTAGACATCTAGGATCGCCCATACTTGCAAAATCATCTCAATCTATAAATTTATCTATGCCTACAGGTTCATCTGTACCTATAGATTCATTTCAACCTACAAATTCCTCAAAGTCTACAGAATTGTCCCAACTTACAAGCATGTCACTTACAGATTTATCTCGACCTACAGATTTGTCTCAGCAAACAGGCTCGTCTATACATACAGATTCACCTCGACATTTAAGCTTATCTCGATCTACAGGTTTATCTGGACATACTGGCTCATCTATAACTACAGAATAATCTTTGCCTACAAATTCGTCTTAATCTATAAACTCATAATAAACTTTATTTGTTAACTTTTTATAATACAATTATTTTTTAATTTATAATTAAAACTTGGTTGGTTTTATATTTTACTTTATAACAAATATTTATACTAAATATCAATTGTGGTGTTACTTATTAAAAGGGCTCATTTTAAAAAAAAAATTATTTTATTTTATTTTGAATAGATATATATATTTAATAAAAAGATTGCTATAAGTTACAAAGCATTTATATATTGTATTACATTGATTAAAAGACCCAGGATTCAATACAAAATACCCACTAAAAAACTCAAAGTATCCATTGGTTTCTTGTTTGTTGATAGACATATTGTATGAAGGATACTTTGTAAGGTCTTATAAATATGCAATACAGAATTCAATATGTGGTAGTATGAAAAATGCTATGTAAAATGCCAGGGTATTATCTGGAAATGTACCTTATGCAAGATAAAACTAGCATACATTTTATAAATCATATGATTTTGCACAAAGTGAACCATCCTAGTATCACCCTAAACGTATCGGTGTTTAAAATTTTAATTTACAACTTAACTTATAATATGTGTAACATATGAAATAGAAAGCTAATACATGAAGCAAAGAGAATTCAATAGTAAATATCTATTTAAATATTTATTTAAGCGATTATATAATTTTGAATGATTGTTATTAATAATCACCCAACTTTTTATTTCATACATATTTAAAAAAACATAATATTTATGTTCTTTTTGATTGTAATTACAAAGTTTGGTTTGCAAGTTCTTGTATTAACAAATATAATAAATATAAGATAAAAAATTAATGCAACAATTTCAAACTATTTGAAATTTAGTCTGAAAATTTATAATTTAAAAATTGTTCTTAATATTTGCAAAAAGATCGCTTATATCTTGCTAGCTATAGTTGATATGAATTACGACAAAAAAGATTTAAATATTAGATTCTTGACTATTAATAACACATAATTATTTGTAGAAAATACTAATAAATATATAAACTTATCACATTCCATGTATTTCTTGTTGTTTTGGCATTTTCAAATTTTTCTAAATCCTCAACCATTTTTTTTAGAGAATTAAAATTTTTTTCAACCGAATCTAACCATTTTTCTTGCTGAGGAAGAGCGGATGATTTTTCTATAAAACTTATAGCCTAAAAAAAATATATATATTAATGTTACTTAAATATAAAATATAAAAATATATTTTATTACCTTTTCAAGTACTGTTTTCAGTTCAATAGCTTTATTATTCATAGTATCTATTTCACTATTATTATCAATACTGTTTAAATAATTATCATTTAAATTTGATTCACATTCAACTTCCTCATTATCATTATTTTCCTCATCATCGTTATTATTCAAAATTATAGTTTCATCCGGTTTATATTGTGAATTATTAAAAATAGATTTTCAAACTGATTGATGTGCTTCATAAATAAATATATACTTGTTATTTTGTTGTACTAAATTAAAAAAAGAAGTTTCTATATTTCCTAATGACACAACAAGGTGCTTACAAAGAAAAAAACAACTTTTAAGAATGAACATGAGTAAACCCAATAATCATGAATTGTGAGATACTTGTTAAAACTATTAATTTTTTGAATTGAAAGTTTTTTCCATTCAGGTTTAAAATCTTTTCGCCAGTGAGATTGAATTCGCTCAATAAGAAGATCATATTGATGTAATAATTTTGGAAGCATTCTGGTAACTATTACATTACAAAGCACATCCAAACATGGACGATTGAATTTGTATAAAAAATCATGCTTGAGGATTCTCCAATGAGATTCCACGATCATTGTTGTATAGATAATTGAGGCTGTTTTGTGTGCTGATAATGCCCAAAGACACTAGCATTCCTAGCGATACCACTCTAACCATAAGTAGCTCCAAACATGAAATAAATCATGCTTATAACAATATTGATATATTTCATTGACTGCCTGAATTCTGATTTCATTTGGTGTTGATACAAATTCTTTATCTAATATTGGAATTAACATGATAATATGTATTAATAAATTCCAATATTTCTTTTCGTAAAGATGCTTCTAAAAAAAATTTTCTAGAATTTATATTAATATTATTATGAGATTGCCATGTTAAATCAATTACAGGGCACTGTTGATGTGCAAGGATGGCATTATATTGTAATATTCTTTTTTTATATTTTGATAAAAGCCTTTGCTCAACTGCATGCTGTATGTGCCACTTACAAAGCTGAATCTCTGTATTTTTCCAGACCACCAATCCACTACAAAATCCTTATCAGAAAGGATTATCTTTACTTCCTTAAGACCATTATTATACAAAGATTTAAACCATGCAGTAATAGCTGCATGGATATCTCGCCCTTTTCTATTTTCAATAAAACAATAAGATATTGGAAACTCTGTTCTATCTATTATAGCCATTACAGTATAAAGTTTATACTTTAATTGGTTGGTATTATATATTGCATCAACTATAATAGTTTCAAATGCTTCAGGTGGCAACTTATTAAAAAATGATGTTAAAAACTTTAAAATACGTGTTGATGTATTTAATTCAAATAAAATTTTATATTCTTTTTTATTTAAAAATAATTTAGCTAATTCATATTGATCTTCATGTTTTTGAAAATGCCTTGATGCTTCATATAACTACCAGAAATATACTTGATCAACAGTTAAAGTTTCATATTCTTGAAGTTCTTTAGATATAATAATTCTATAAAGCTCAGGTGCTCTTTGTACTAAATTTTCTTGAATAAACTGTTTAATATCTTTTAATACACCAATATGTCATGAAGTTGCTTATGATATAATTTTACATTTGCAAAATTATTATTCAAATTTATATCAACAGATAGAAGGCCTTCACATGCATATCATATAAGATATGGCTTTTTATTTTGTTGCTTTGATATATCAGCATGTTTTAGATACTTTGAAATAAGCTCTTTATGGCAATTACACCAATAATTAAATGATTTTTTTTTTGTATAACAGTTTTTGTATAGTAAATATAATCGTAGCTATCTCCTTGTTCAATACATTTAACTATCTTATTTGCAAGAAATTGTTCATGTTAGTCATATCCCTTCGTCTATAACACAGGCAAATTTGTCTGCGTTTTTTAAAAATCTTAATAAAAGCTTAAATATTAATTTAAGCTATATCTTTTCTAAGTAAAAAATATATATTTAGTTTTGTTTTAATAACTTTGTTATAAAATTTTTTTAAAATTATTAGAAAATTTTAGTACAATCAAAATTTAAAGTTCTTGTATTAGAATTTTTACTATTAAAAATTTTCTTTGGGTTTTCTTAAATTTTATATATTTTCGCCTTTACAAAAAACTTTTACTTCTAATACAAGTCCTAATTTTTACAAATAAATTACTAAAAGTGCAACAATGAAAGTTGCCATCCTCTATATAAGCTATAATATTGCATTAAGAACTATAGATTTAAAATTAAAACTAAATAAGATCGCAGAAGAATTGTAATAAAATTTTTTTAAAAAAAAATTTTTTAAAATTATCTATTTTCAGCTTATATATAACCTTAATTTTTTTTCTTATAATATAAACTCCAATTTTGCAAAAAAGTAATCCTTATTTTCAAATATAATTGTACAAAGTTTTATTTAAGTATTTTGGCATCTTAAAAAAGTAAATCAGAGCTAAAAAAGTGCAAAAACACAGGCAAATTTGTCTGCATTTTGCTACAATCTAGGGGATAATATATCTGACAGAATTTCTTCAACAAGTATATCTAATTTAATTATCATTTCTATACTAAATACCTAATTACTTTCTAAACAATTATTAATACTATTCATATTTACTAGAGCTGAATGAACTGTGTTAGTAACACTTTCAATATCAATGGCATTTTCTTCAGCACTAGAGCAAAATTGGTAATTTCTTTATGTTTTCTCTTCTTACTTTCTTTAATACGTGTCAAACAATTAATACATGTTTTATTATTTCCTTGAAAATCATCTAATACTTTAGGTTTATGACATGATTTACAATATAGTGGATTCATTAATGCCGATGGCTTCTTTTTAAGTCAATTAGAATCCAAATTGAAAAAAAGAAAATTTTTATATAAAAAAAATATTATTAATACGTCAATTATTATGAAATTATTATACATTACTTATCAATTTTATTATACAAATTAAAAAATTCAGAGATAAATTAAATTTTGGGCCCAAAAATGTAACTGATCTTTGGGTGATACTTGATTTGTCCACAAAGTGTGAGGTCGGACTGTCTACAGACACATATAATTTCATATGATTTGCACGTATCAAAGATCATGAATTTTTTTTAACTTTTAAACAAATTTTCTTAACTACTATACAATGGAATTTGATAGAAATTTTTTTTAAATAAAATTATTTGAATTAACAAAACTTATTTAAAAAAATTTTCATCGAATTTCATTGAGTAGTTGTTGAAAAATTTTCATTCAAAGTTAGGAAAAATTTCTATTGCCTTCTAAGAAAATAGCTGCAACAAAAATTTTCTAAACTTTGAATAAAAATTTCTCAACATCTACTTGATAGAATTCAATAAATATTTTTTTAAATGAATTCTATATAATATGTGAATTCGCTTAAAAAAATTTCATTAAATTTTAACAAGTAGTTATCAAGAAAGTTTCATTCAAAGTTTAATGAAATTTTTACCATAGCTATTAAGAGGTAGACTTTTTTCAAACTTTGAACTAAATTTTTTTTTAAATAAATTTTACTATTTTATAGAATTTATTTAAAAATTTTTATTGAATTCTGTCAGGTAGGTGTTGAGAAATTTTTGTTCAAAGTTTAAAAAAATTTTGTTACAATTATTTTCTTAGAGGCGATAGAAATTTTCCCTAACTTTGAATGAAAATTTCTCAACAACTACTTAATGAAATTCAATAAATTTTTTTTTAAATAAGTTTCGTCAATTCAAATAATTTTATT